GTCTGAGTCGCCTGACCACCCAGACTCACGAGTGGGCCCTCAACGATAATGTCTTCTCTCGTCTCTGCAGTCGGTGGGGGACACCAGGCCTGGATGTGTTTGCCACCCAACACAACACCAAGTGCAGCAGATACTGCTCCAGAGCGGGGAGAAGTGAAGGCTATCTCGACAATGCCTTCATGGTGGATTGGGAAGACGCACTGCTTTAGCTGTTTCTACCCTTTCCACTCATCCAGAGGACAATAATCAGGATCCGTCAGCTGGATCGAGGTGTCATATTAATAGTACCGTGGTGGCCTTGTCAACCGTGGTTCACCACTTTCAGGACCATGATCTCTGAATATCTCAGGTTACCACTTCAAACTTCCCTACTCACTCAGGACAAGGGTCCAATTTGCCATCCTGACCTCAGCTCTCTACACCTCACTATGTGGAGAATTTTCCCAAAGTGGCTGAAGTCCTGAATAGAGCAAGGAAGCCATCAGCTCAGTTATTGTATTCCTACAAATGGAAATCATTTATCAAATTTGCTAAATCACAGAAATTACCTACAATTCCAGTTTCTTTGGATACCCTTCCTAAGTTCCTTCGGTACCTGTTTGATCAAGGTTTGGTTTTTTCTTGCACAAAGTATATTTCTGCAATAGTGTCTTAACAGCCTGAAGGATCCCAAGCTTCCCGTTTATTCTCTCATACCATGTTAAAGAGATTTTTAAGAGGACTGAGAAATATGCGTCCACCTGTTCGACCTCCACTTCCCCAGTGGTCTCTCTAGGTCGTCCTTCATGCACTTGCTCGCCTTCTGTTTGAGCCTATAGCTTCCGCAAACCTCAAACTCCTTTCCATTAAAACTTTGTTCCTTGTGGTGATAACATCTGCATGCCAAGCAAGTGAACTGGCTGCTCTTCGAGCCGATGACCCGTATATTCAATTTTTTCCTGATAAGGTTGTGTTTTATCCAGATGTGTCATTCCTCCCCAGAGTAATCTCTGATTTCCACGTCAATCAACCTCTGATTCTCCCGACATTATTTCCCAATCCAACTTCTGCTGTTGTGCGCATGCTCCGCTCCCTTGATATTCGTCATGCCCTTGCTTTTTATCTTTCCAGAATCAAGGACTTCCGTGTTTCTCCCAGACTTTTTGTCTGTTTTCATGGCCCACAAAAGGGTTCTCCTGCCTCCTCACAGACACTGTCAAAGTGGATTGTCTCGGCCATTACACTGGCTTATGAATTAGCAGGCAAGACTCTGCCAGAGGTGCTGAAGGCACACTCCACTAGAGCGATGGCAGCGTCTACAGCTTTGTTCCGTGTCGTTGAAGTCCCTGACATCTGTCAAGCGGCCACTTGATCTACACCCTCGATGTTTGTAACACACTATGATCTCGATGTCAGGGCCAAAAAGGAAGCAAGTTTCAGAAGAGCTGTACTAACTTCGTTGTTTGTGTGATGGCTCTCCTTCTGGTAAGTGAGCTTGCTAGTCACCCATTTGTGTGGATTCACAGAGGCCACGAAGAAGAAAGAGAGGTTACTTACCTGTAACCATGGTTCTTCGAGTGGTCCTCTATGCATCTACACATCCCACCCAGCCTCCCTGCTGTCTGTCACTTGTTGTCTTGAGCTTTATGGGGGTCAAGATTTTGACAGTGATGGACATTTGGAACTGAGTTAACGGGTGGGTGCAGCATGCGCACCACGGGGCAACATCCTACTAACAGGGTTTTTTAAAGCTCTAGAATATTCCGAGAAGTCCTGCGCAGGTGCCCATTTGTGTGAATTCACAGAGGACCACTCGAAGAACCATTGTTACAGTTAAGTAAGCTCTCTCTTGGCACAACATACTCAGTTTGGATACATGTTCAGAAGAAGGAAAATTAAGTTGGCCTCTGTGTACCTTCTGCTTTCCTTTTAGTCGTGGCACCAATATAATGGAACATCCTCTCTAGAGAAGCCTGCCAGCTCTCATGCTTGTGCTCTTTCTACTGCTTTATTAAAATATGCAAGAGAAATTCTGATGCCCTTAAGTAAAGATTTCAAAATCCACATTGTACCGTCTCTGGAAGGCCAACCAAAAAGGCATGTAAATGGAAGTACTGTACAAATCAGGCAGAGATGTCTAAAATTGCTACCAGAGGCTACTAAGTTTTTTAAAATGGTTAAATGGTTTTTTAATGAATCCTGGTGTATATAGTTTATTAAGTAAAAATTAGTTCCAATCATTTATAAACTCAGCAAGCAGTTTAGAGTGACTCTCAATAAAGTCAGTAATTACAAGAAAACAGGTATCTTTGAAACTGACATACATTAGCATAGTGTACCATTTTGGATGGGGAAGAGAAAAGGAAAAGGTTGAAGAATGAAAGACTTGAATCAGTTGCATTAATTTATGCCAAATAATGAAAACCTTGCTTAGTCAAAGACCTTCTTGATGTATGCTTCAAACCACGTATTGGTGGAATGACTCATTGATACAGACTCACAAATAGTGCTGTCCTTTAGAGGTTCTTCATCTCCCCTTTTCAACCTCTGTTTACTTTGGAGAAGATAGATGATTTTCTATAGGAGAAGGCCTATAGAGATATCTGAAGCTATGTGTTATTGTGTCAGTGTTGAAATAATATGGTTGCTTGTGTTCGTCTTTTGTGCCATTTGACATGTCTCTAGATACCAGTCACAAAAAAGAATGAGACAGGTTTCAGTACAGAAAATGGTGGGATGACTGTTATTCTCATTGTATGTTTTCAGTAAACTGGCCAAAACAAGGATAGGTGGACAATATAGCTAATTTTAAGTGATGGAATTACTGTACTATTCAAAATTATACCTGGGATGATATGTAAATTGATATTTTAGTGATAAAGCAATGAATACCGTGCCATATAAATCAATATTTACAGTCCTAGTATGAGAAAAAAGTGCTGTTGCAAACTACCATGTTATTCCCGAGGCTGAATTTAGGCACTGTAGGTGTACTGTGATTAAGAATTTTTAAATTTTTAATATATCAGTTTGCTGTATTTCAGTCCACATAATATTATCTTTCAGAAGGCAAGTTCAGATTTCATCTTTGTTAGATTGGAATGAATACAAACAAAATTGAGCGGCTATTGCAGTTTTGTGATCTGTGACATAGTGCAATTTACTGCTTTTGTTCTATGGAAATTGTATCCATTAATATTAAATCATGACTTTTTAAATCCCAAATGAATAATAATGCATGTGCATGGATAGTAACTTCAAATATATGCTGGTAAAATTCCATGTGACAAGCATTATCTAACTTATTTTCCCTAATGTATCTTCAATATCTGTGCAACAACTTGAATTAGCTGCTCTAGTCCTGGCAATATTGTGCCATACTAATCCTTATTCTCCTTTTTGGTGTTACAAAACGATGTGCTATGGATGTTATCGATGATGCTGTGTGTGTTTCCACACCACAGCCTCACGCTGGGTTAATCATGGTCATAAACCATCCCAACCTCTGCCCCGCATTTCCAGATCAATGTGATTGTTGATTTGGAAAGGTAGCCCCTTGTGGACCAATAAACCTATTCAGGTTTCCCTTTTTAAAAATCATGTGGAACAAACTGAGGATATATGTTCCACATCTGCATCTATATTGAAGGGGAAAGGTCTGCAAATGAGCAGTAATGGAGTTCAGGTGCATACAGTTAGGAGGTTCTGTCCAGTAGGTACAGTCAACCCTCGACTTACAAACTTAATCCGTTCCGGAAGTTTGTAAGTCGAAAAGTTCGTAAGTCGAATCAGCATTTCCCATAGGAATGCACTGAAAACCAATTAATCCGTTCCAGCTGTTTTTGGTTCTGAGGTCAAGGGGCAGTTTGTAACTCGAATCATTAGTTGCCATAGGAACTAATGCAAAGCCGGTTAATTCGTTCCTACCACTAGGGGCAGAATGTTTTCTTTTTTTCCTTTTAACCTAAGATGACATAGGTTTAAAAAAAAGGAAAGAAAAAAGGGAGGGAAGAAGGGAACAGACACCTTTTCAACAGAACACCTTGAAAAGCACCTTTTCAGCCATGATAAGCACCTTCTGGGAAAAACCAAGCACCTTTCAGACAACAGATCACATTGAAAAGCACCTTTTCAATCAAGACAAGGCAATACAAGCACCTTTTGGGGAAACAGGGGGCAGCAAAGGAGGGAGGGAGCACCTTTTAAAAATCAAAAAATCATTTTTTTTAAAAAAAAAAGGCAAAAAAAAATACAGTCCATACAACACTGTATCAGGCAATACCAGTCAGTACCAGTCAGTTTGAAGACTGTCTTCAAATCCACTCTCAAAATGCTGGGAAGAGCGAGGAAGCAGACAGGCACCCTCTTCACTGGCCAACGGTTAACTGAAAGTTCAAATTTTGTGCTTTCCCCACCTCCCGCATGTTTTTTTTCGGTTCATAACTCAAATCTAAGTTTTCAAGTCGAGTCAATATTTTTCTATCAGAGCGTTTTGTAAGTCGAAATGTTTGTAACTAAGGCCGTTTGTAAGTCGAGGGTTGACTGTAATGCTGTGCTATTAGAATACCCAGACTGTATAACTGGGCACGGCCTAGTTTGGTTTTGACTGCTTTTCAGACCTTCCCCAAATAGAGATTCACGTCTCTGATACTTCCGATTTAAAATAGGACCTCTGTTTAATACAGTTCTGTGTTACTGGTTATATTTTCTAGGAGAGTACCCTTAACCTACTGTGTTCTCTTGTTCTCCTTATCTTAGAGGTATTGTGGTTATTGGGAGTTAAGTATAGCACTTTTTTAAATTTAGGATGAAAAAGGGAACATCATATGCCATATGAGTAGAGCAGCTTCAGACAGTGGTTCTTTTATGCAAATACATATATATTTTATAAAAATATTTTATAAAAAAAATCTCTCCCAATAACCATAATACCTCTAAGACAAGCAGAACATGACACGTTTTCTTTGCAATTATGCTTATATAGTAAACTGCATTTCTAATAGTCTACTTTACTTCTACAGGCAGAAGGAGAGGATAGCCTTAAAAAGATGCAGTTGATGGAGCTTGCAATTCTCAACGGCACCTACAGAGATGCTAATATCAAATCACGTAAGTACTACGGAACTATGAATCTTTTACATGTGAAGGTACTTATAAGTTGTGTCTTGCTTGTATACACCAATAGACCAGCCAATACCTGTATTCTATACATAGTCTCTCAATCTTGACTTGTTCTTATCCTTCTAATTATTCTGATGTCTGGAAATAATCCATTCTATATATGTACTTCCTATGCCCTTGCTTTCTAAAGCATGCACATTCCCAATTTGTAGTTCTTGGTTGGTATGGCATTGTGACACTGCCTAGCTTAGAATATTGCCTAGCTTAGAATATTGTGGCAACAAGTAGAGTGAGTTGAGTCTGCTGTGGAAAGTTGAGGAATTATAGGCATCTTTTCTGCATACAGTGGTGCCTCACTTAGCGACGTTAATCTGTTCCGGAAAAAACGTCGCTAAGTGATTTCATCGCTAAGCGATTTTTAAAAGCCCATAGAAACGCATTAAAATGTGTTTAATGTGTTCCTATGGGCTTCAAAACTAACCTTAAGCGAAGATCCTCCATAGGATCTTCATTTTCGGTGCCTCTTAAGTGAGGCAAAACAGCAGGCGGCCATTTTGAAACCGCCAATCAGCTGTTTAAAAAGGGTCGCGGGGAACTTCACTTGAACTGTTTGCATTGCAAAAGTGGGAAGGAGTAACGTTCCCATCTGCTCTCCTTTCGAGGGAACCATTTCTCCTTCTCTCTCTCTTTTTTTCTCTCCCGCCCACCTGTTTTCCTCGACCGAGTGTGTGGTGTGTGTGTTGGCGTGTGTGTGTGTGTGTGGGTGCACGTTCCCCTTCCCCTCGCCCAAACGGAGCCCAAGGCGAGACGGCCGGGATTGGCCGCCAAGGGCCCCGAGCTCTGCCCGCCTGAGCCTGGCTTGGAAGAGAGCGAGAAAGAGCAAGAAGGAAGGGAAGGGAGAAAAAGAGAGAAGGCAGGGGAGGGGAGGAAAGAAGAGCGGGGCTGCGCTCCCTGCGTTGCCTAGTCTGGAGCGGGAGCCTGGCAGCGGTGGAGCAGCAGCAGGAGCAGCCGCCACTGGAGCCCGCTGGTCTGAGGAGGAGTCAGCCCCATAGCCCTCTCTGCTCCTTGGGCGCAAGGCAAGGCGGGCGGGGGGCTCGCCTCCACCAGTGCATGACCATGAGTGACAAGAAGAGCAGGACCAGGCCAAAAAGGCAAGCAAAGCCTGCAGCTGATGAAGCTGGCCAGCGAGGGAGTGTGTGTGTGTGGCGGGGGACGGCGCTTCTTTCCCCGCCACGGAGCAAAGCTGCCATTTGGAGGGCGGAGGAGGGAGGCGGCAGTATGCGGGGGGGGTTTGGGGTGGACAGGCTTTGATCCCCCCTCGGTTCGAAGGGGCAGGAGGTGGACCTGTGGGTATCCTGACGGCCCAAGTGGTCGCAGAGGCGCCCCTCGCGAGGAGGGGGGAAGGACGGACTCCGGGCTAGAAGGTGAAACGGGGAAGCCGGCAGAGGAGAGAGCGGCCGGTGGTGGTAGTGGTATCTCCCGGTAGAGGGTGGGCTTCCATGGGATCCCTTGGCCGGGATGAGAGGCTCCCCCTTAGCCCCCCGCTGCTCTGCTCTCCTCCAGTTGGATCCTCCCACCTCCTCCCAGACGTGCAAGGGTCGCTTTGCCATGATCGCATAGTGATTTTTCCCCATAGGGGCCATCACTAAGCGATCGCTCTGGCGATGGCCAAAACCCCGTCGCTAAGCGATTTCATCGCTAAACGGAGTGATCGCTGAGCGAGGCACCACTGTATATAATTTCCTTTAATTGATGGGTGGGCAGAATGTGGCCCTCCACATACTGTTGGACTGTACCTCCAAATATTCCTTACCCCTGACTGTGTTGGTTAGGAATGACAAGAATTGCAGTCCAGCATTGAGAAGGGACACATTTTGCTTTAAATATTTCCCTGGCTTAGATGAGCGTTTTTTCCCCCAGTGGCTTAAAGTAACTTCTCCATTACATATCTATGTGGACAGAGCAGCTCATTGATTTAGGTATCTGGCTATGAAGCCAGAGACTGGGAGTTCAATTACCCACTCTACCTCCTTGAGATACACTCCTTGATCCATAGGGTCCTTTCCAGATTTTCTAAGAAATATCCAGCAAGTCATTATGCCTTACCACCTGAAGCAAAGGTGTGCCTTCAGGAACTAGAGTCATAGAGAGAGGCACTAGTAAAGGCAGTCAGAGCTCATATGAGAGAAAAGACAGATCTTACCCTAACTCCTCATCCTCCCTTTTTCTTGCACTTGGAACTTCTTCTAGTAGTTCATCTTCTCCAGGCTGCCACCAATTCAACAGGCCAGGGACAGCTCCTTGATCAATGTGGATGGGGTACCCATAGATTGTGTCCCTCCCCAGGATACCCTATGTATGGTAGGTAAGAATCATATTGTTCTCTCTTGATCTACCACTATACAAAAATAATACATTGTTGATTTCCCCCATCATCCTGGTCACCACCAATTTCAGAATGTGATACAGGCACCAGATGTACCTTTAAACTAGCCATTAAACTTTTTGGCCATGGCCATAAACAAAATAAGAAAGATAGGCTGAATCAGGATTGTATGGGTTGCATAAAGAACCTTATAAGATGGTGTGGGAATAATTGTTTTCCTGTCTGTGGCCCCCTTCAAATGTGCTAGGGCCTCCAGGGCNCCCCCCCCCCCCCCCCGTTAAGAATGGCTGCTAAACCATGCAGCATCTCCTAAACATAAAAAAACAGGCAAAATATTTCCACTGTTGTACATTGCTGTGGCTGCTATTCCATCTTCTCCAGTCTTGAAGAAGCTGATAGCAGAATACCTGACTTCAAGTAGATGAAATCAGCCCATAGAGAAACAGTAGATCCATAGAAAGATGTTGAAATCCACAGTGGATGGTATTCACTGTCAACATTTTCACAAACTCATCTACACGGCATCAGAAATGCCTGTGTTTCTCCTTGCAAGGGAAGCTCTACAGTTCAATCATTCAGTCTGTCATTGTTCCCAGCAAGATAATCATGACAATATATTTGTAGCTATAATGGCTTTGTGTCAGAATGGAAATCAGACATATGTAGGATGCGTTGTAGACAAGAAAGGCTATACAGAAAAGAAAAAAATGCTCTTGATTATTATAAAGCTCAGAACTGGCTAGTTGCCATATCGCTTTCCCTGCTGGGTTACTGAGAGTAACATTCACCTTCATTGACTGTGTACCATGGCCAAGATGAAAACTATTGTTTGTTCACTGCCTTACAGTGCAGCAGGGAACTGAGAAGCACCCAAAGCCCAGGTCACTGTAGATCCAAGCTTTTGTGCATGGGATATACACTACTTGCATAGGAACAGTGGGTGGCAGGAGAAAAATGGTACACTGTAAATTTTCTGGAGCTGTGAAGAGTTCTCCTAGCCACAAAGGTCTTCCTGTACGACCTGCATGGACAGGAAATCATGGTCTACACTGAAGTCCCCTGGGAGGAACTGGGCGGCACCTCCTCCTGCAGGAATCCAGTTTCAAGCTAGTCTGGTCAGAGACAAATCATTAGAGTTCATGGAGGGACAGCGCTGTTCCAGAGTTTAGTGGTTAAGTACATAAAATATAGAATGGAAATTGGAAAATACTTCTGGGTACTGCACAAAATGATACCTTTGTCTATTGACATACAAAGAAACATTTTATTTACCACAGTAGCTTCATTTCATATATTTGATGGAATGTGTTCTCCCCACTGGGAGAAAGCATCTTACTGCCCAGGATGACTAGGTGGGACTTCCTCAGTATATCATCCCTATACCTTTTTTCTGTCTCTGCTTCTTCATCTCTCTCTCTCTCTCTCTCTCTCTCTCTCTCTCTCTGTGTGTGTGTGTGTGTGTGTGAGAGAGAGAGAGAGAGAGAGAGAGAGCGCAAAGGATAAAATGAAAACTTCTTTCAGCATACTAGGACAGTGAGGAGCTTCCTTGCTCAAATGACTTGGCTGCAGTCATTTGAGTCCTGCCTACCAGACCAATGTAAGGAGGAACCTGCACATGGTTACCTTTCAGTCACTAGAAAACAAATGTAGGGGAGTAAGTTGAAGATTCTTATTTTTCATATGGTAATTTTTTGTTTTGCACTATTCTTAATTTTGTTTAGCACCTTTTTTCAGTCTGCGTGTATATAGAATTGTTGTAAAACTAAATTCCTTGCCACTTACTAATTGGTTAACAGATATTTCGTTTTGAGAGTAAGCGTAGTTGACCTGAACAATAATTGATATGGAGAATAATTTCTTCTGTCGGTATTTTTATTTAATCAATGTCAGTTTTGCATAACAGACTTAATAACAGACTTTATACAGGCATAACACAAGGATGTTGATTTATCTTACCATCTTTAATACATAAATGATCCAGAGAGATAAGCATTTAATTTGCAGAGAGGACTTTGCCTTTGAACAGAAATGTCAGGTGCCTTTGAAGGTCTAGATGTATACCTGTTAAAACAATGTGGATATGAAATGTAAATAGTCTCATAATTTTTCAGTGTGTATTTATGAAATCTACATAAGTTTAACTTTTAGTTAAATAGGCTAAGAAAACCTAAAGGCTGAAATTCTGTGGACTCTTGGGAGTAAATTCTGTTAAGTTATGTAAGTAAACATACATAGGTTTGAAGTTATTCAAGCCCTCAAAACGGACCCTGAATACCTGTAATATATGGCCTGGCTTGAAAGTACACAGCTGCTAGTAACTTGGTTTTGTCTGAATTTTAGGTCCACAGCCTGAAGCCTATTTGAGACATTAGCTGTTTATAGAGTCTTTAGTTTCTTCTGAAGAGGAATGGGGCTTTTGCTCTTGATGTTCCTGAAGTAAAAGGGAAGTGTTAAGGTGCCATTCTGCTGGTGTTCTATGTTTTGTAAGGCATATCCCTGCTGTTTTCCACCATCCCAGAAAATGAGTAAAAGCCATTGTTGCAGTTTTACTCTAACCAATTAGGAAAGCTGTTCCAGGTTTGTTTGTTTATTCATTTATTTCATTTATTTCATTTATATCCCACCTATCTGGTCGTTAACCTTTCTGCTAAGAGACAGCAATAAGCAGCCGCTGTACTAGTTAGATAGAATCTCATTATCACAATCTGGTTATCTAACATGGGAGGCTGTCCAAATGTTTTTAAGGGGAAGGGGAGGTTTCTTTACGATCACATTATGTTTCAGGGGCCCCTGTGTGGGAACATGGCTCAATCAATTGTTCTCAATTTCACGAGTTTGTTTATTGGAATGGGGGTCTCTGTGTACTCACACTAATGGATCTGCACCTGTCCAGAGTAGAGATGAGGACATAATGAGGGTCTAGCCCCCTGGGGCTGGACAGTCCACTCACCTTCCGCTGTTGCCGCAGGCTCCACACTCCCTATCAGTCCAGAGCTCGCAGTCTGCAAGCCACTCCTGACAGGAAGCAGGAGAACAAGCCTTGTATACGAATACCCCCATCTCTAGTCCAGAGCTATCTCTTTGAAACCTTCTAGATCAAGAGAGGGTTTGAGGCTTATCAACAGCACACATGTCAGTATGCAACCCTCAGTTTTCTTTTGTCTATCACAGCAGCCACACCCTTTAATTTTTCCTCCTGTGAGAAATTTAAATAGGAAAAAAAAATCATTTTTGAGAAAGCACTTTCAGCAGTGATTTCTCCAGAACTGATGCTGCCTGTCTGAAAAATCTCTTGGGTTTCTAAAAAGTCCCCATAACGTTGGTTACATCTGTCTCAACTGCTATCATAACTGTGCTGTACTTACTCAGCAATCTCAGCCTCTTTGTTGACACCATTACACCTGGTGTCAGCTCTCTAATTGAAAGTCTCCTCACTGCTCATCCCATCCATACTGAAGTATAAGGTATGCAAGTCTAAGAGAGCTGTGTCATCAGAGCACCTTAGAAAATTGTGCATATTACTGTGCCCAACCCGGCATCAAAGAGATTAAGGTGATTTTTGGCAAACCACCAGCAAAGGTCCTTTAGGTGCATTCAGCACAAGTTCCAACACAAGTTCACTCCCTGTAGGAGGGTGAAATCAGGGATGACACCAATGTGGCTGTACCAAGCCTTGGACTTCAGCATTGAGTGGGAGGTTGGATATGATGGCCTTATCGGCCCCTTTCAGCTCCATTATTCTATGATTCTGTTACCTAGCAAGATGCATCTGAGTGCACTGACTTGGTTCCAGAAATGCCTAACATATAGCACACCAACCATCATGTATTCTCTTGAGCAGCAACATCATTCTCATTCTGCTCTTCTAGGGTCAGAAGATCAGTGGTTGGGTTGGTGGGTGGGTAGGTAGGTAGGTAGGTAAAATATTTTTACCCCACTTCTTTCCTTAAAATAGACCCAAGATGGCCTACATCATTAAAAGACAATACTGTATTTAAAAGGTAAAAACAAGTATACAAATATTTAAAAGAATCAAATACCACACTAAAAATGGTAAATAAAATGGTAAACAAAAACAGCTTTAAAGCAACAAGGCACAATAGTCCATTAAAACCGCTCTTAGAAAGGTAATCACTAAGGGAAAATCTGAAGAGAAAAGCTTTGCGAAAGGAAAGCAAAGATAGGGCCAGCCTGGCCTCATATGGGAGGGAGTTCCAGAGTCTGAGTGCAGCGACAGAGAAGGCCCTCTCCTATATCTCTACCAAATGCACCTGTGGAGGTGGTGGGATCGAAAAAGTCCTCACCAGATAACACCCAGGCAGGCTCACAATGCAGTCCTTGAGATAGCTTGGACCCTAGCTGTTTAGGACTTGATAAGTTAAAACCAGCACTTTGAGTTGTGCTCAAAAATGGAGCTGCTGTAACAGGTTATGTGATCCCTGTAACCACTCCCAGTTAGCAATCTGGCTGCAGTGTTTTGGACCCATCAATATCCTAGCACTTTCCAAAAGCACCCCGACATAGGTTGTGTTACAGTAATCCAGGCATGTGTCACTGTGGCCAGATCACATTGCTCCATGAATGGACACAGCTAGTGCAAACGCACTCCTGGCGATTGCCGAAACATGGGCATTCTGGCTCAGAAACAAATCCAGGAGTACTCCCAAGCTGCTCACTGGTTCTGTACTAGCACCCTTATTGCTACTCACCACCTCAGTTGCCGTATTGTAGTCAATTTCTTCTTAATTGCAAAATGATAAGAGAGCTCATTAGCATTTGACTAATGAGCAAAGTGGTGTCTCCTTATATGCCCAGTTCTGCAAGTTCAGAGTTAGGCTGTGGCCTAACATAAACACAGTCTTGATATTGGCCTTGACCTGATTCAGCTAGGAAAAACACACAACCATGTATCAGCTCACACGGAAGGCATGAGAGAGTTATGAAAAACTGTGAAACAGAATCAGCTTCTGGAAGA